TGCAAAGGGACTTACAATTTTTGCCATCCACACATAGTTGCATATAGCAGCTTTATTGATAACTGACAAAACTCAGAAACAGCGATGTCCTTCAGTAGAAGAGAGGACAATAAACACCAGGTAATGGAATATGGTGGCACTATCCTGTGTGCTTGGGTCCTGGACTACATAATGGGAACGTGGGACCTCATCTCCCCTGCTTCCTGACTTCAGATGCAATGTGACCAGCTTCCCCCTGCTCCTGCCACCATGACTTCCTGCTGTAATGGACTGAACCATGGGGCTATGAGCCCAAACAACTTTAAATTGCATTTTATCACTGCAACCACAAAGAAGCTAATATACTGTCTTTAGCCACTGAGAAACTGAAAATGAAAACTATGTTACGTGTGCATCTCACCACAACTGGATTTTGTTTTTAATTTTATGTGTATTGGTGTTTTGTCTGAGTGGATGTCTGTATACCATACACACCTAGTGCCAATGGAGGCCAGAAGATGGCACTGGATCCTTTGAAACTGGAGTTACAGATAGTTGTGAACTGTAATGTGGGTGCTAGAAATTGAACCCCGTCCTCTGGAAAAGCAGCCAGTGCTCATAACTGCTGAGCCATCTCCCCAGGGGCCGAGTTGGATTGTTTATCACTAAGAAACCAAAACTACAAATGGTGACAAGGCTGCAGAGAAAATGTAAGCCCTTATATAGTGATTGGATGTGTTAATTTTATAGTCTCTCCTTTGCTGAAAGTGTTTATCAGCTGTTAGAGTTTAGTGAGTCATCTTTCAGGTTGATTAGACAGAGAATGATATCATCAGTAAGTAGGGAAACTTTGACTTCATTGTTCTATTTCTATCCCATTCATTTCCTTCTCTCATCTTATTGCTCTTAGCTGTGACTTTAAGTGGTATGTTTGTCCTTATTTATAGGTTTTCAAGAAAATTATTAGAGTTCAGTTGTCAATACTAGTTGAACTGTTGGAGTCCCAGACTGTGACTAGTATTTTTCACTTTCCATTTCATTGATGAAGAAAGTTAATTTTGATACTATCCAACTCATGGGTCTTTATGATTTGTGGTTCTCCTGTCCTCTAGTGATAACCTGCACAAATGTGAAAGCAGGATTATATTTCCAGGTGGGTGGAGTTGCTATGAAGACTATCTAAGGAACACAAGCCAAGAACTCTCACTTAGCCAGCAATCCTTACAATGGAGGAGGGACGAACTGGTGGAGAAGTCAACAGGCTGAGAACCTAGTAGAAGTATAAAAGAATGGAGATGCTTATAGTGATGGAGTCCGATATAGCCATCCTCCTAAGTAAACATTCTTCAAATACTTCACAAGGAAACAGATTTATCCTAGCATTGTGCTATCAATGGCATCCAGTATGTCTCCCATGAACAAGAGAAAATTCTTCTTATAATTTCACATTCAACTATCATATTTTCTTATGGCCATGTTTTAAAACAATATGATTCTGTCTCTCAGGCAACTGTCCGCTACTCCTGCATTTCCAGGAATTATTGATAAACAGACTGTACTCAGTACAGATAGAGGCATGGATCAAGTATTCTCAGATGTTCATCATGTGCCTCCCTGGGGGATGTTCTCACTGTCCCCTTTTGTGATATGTCCTCAGACTAGTCACCTAATGTCACAGATCATAAGATCACTTTCCAGAAAGGACATTTCCAAGAACACAGCATCCCTACCTGATTTACCCATGCACTCCAGAAGAGTGCTCACCCTAATTCCACAGTCACTGGAAAGCCACTGCACAAAGTGCCCTATTGTATATTTGTATTATTTATTGTAAACTCTCCTTAAAGTTGAACTAAAGTCTCTACCCTTAAAATTTCTACTCCTTGACTAATTTTCCAATTCAGTAAACCATCAGTGATCATTTTACTAAGTGTGAGACTTTCTGCTAAACCAAGACACTGGTTGAGGACCTCACAGAAAGTGAAATCATCTTAAAAAGATCACAGTGTGTTGAGCATAGTTGGCTGTCAGGGACCAGAAGTGACAGGGAAGGATCTCTTCCAAAAGAAGGACTTCAGCTCACCACTTGGCATTAGATAGCCAATTAAGGAGTTTATTCCTGGGGGAAGACAAATTCTTCTCTCATCAGTTCTTTGTCTGAGAATAGGTCCCCATGACATTTCCCCCTTTCATGTCAGCATGTCTTTGGTGTTTTCATTGTTTACATCTTGTATAGGCAAGTAAAGTCATGAGAGTGAGAGAGCGATAGGAAGGACATAGAAGGAGTTGGGGGAGGAAAGGGGAAGGAGAATGATATGATTATATTTTAATTAAAATAAAACATAACAAATAGAAAAAGAGGACTTTGAAAACTACTAAGAACAAACATAGTTGGGTGAAAAAGACAGTTAATGAAGGCACCAGAAGAACCTCAAATGTCAAAGTATAGAAGTTTTAAATAATTGGATAGACTTAAAGAAGCAGATGTTTGCTGATGCATAAATGAAGAGGATATAAGGGTGTGAGTATTCAAGAAAACCAAGCAGAGAGAGACACACCTTACTGCAGAGGTAATATTTGGGCAAACAGAGATGGTGTCATGATCTTCATACTGAGAGTGTGTAGTGGACAGTGTTTTAGTTTCCTTCTGTTGCCATAATAACTATGACTAAAAACAATTTAGGGAAGAAAGCATTTATTTGGCTCCCACTCCTATGATCCATCGCTGAAGAAAGGGCCATGAACTCAAGGCAGGAATCTGGAGATAGAAGCCATAAAGAAAGGAACTCTGCTCTCTCTCTCTCTCTCTCTCTCTCTCTCTCTCTCTCTCTCTCTCTCTCTCTCTCTCTCTGGGTGTGTGTGTGTGTGTGTGTGTGTGTGTCACTCATAGCTTCACACTTATCCATCCCAGGGTCACCTGCATAGGAATGGTGCCACCCACAGTGGTCTGGATCTTCTGAGTCGATTAACAACCAAGATGTGACCACAGATTAACCTGAAAAAGACAATTATCAATTTGAGATGTTTCGAGTGATCTAGGCTGTATCCAGTTGGCAGTACTAAATAGGTAAAAGTGTGTAATAACTTTGGAAGATTTTTATTATCCCAATCTCTGTTATTGGGGTATGTTACTGTATATACCCCAAAGGACTTTTAATATCTGATTATGTTAAGAAACGTGGGATAAAAGGTTATCATGTTTCATGTGGTTGAGCCCCAAAATATGCTCACAAATAACAATATAGAAGAAAAGTAGAGGGCTGAGGACATAGTTCAAAGGTCGAGAACTTGCCTAGCATTTGCAAAGCCATGTATTTGATTACCAGAATCTGGGAGTGGGGTTAATTATGGAATGAGGAATGTGATATAATGATGAAAGCAGATTTTGAAGTTATATGCTTTGAAGACAGAGAAATGGGTCACTAGCTATGGGATATTGGAAGAAAATATATTTTCTTCTTTAATGACTCCAGAAGGAACTAGCCTGTTGCTAACATCTTTCCTGCAGCCCCATAAGATTCTATGCTTCTGGAGCTTGAGTAATTCATGGCATCATAAGCCACTGTTTGAAGTTACTTTTACCATAGCAATAGGAAACTCATACAAAGTATATAACTCTGAGAATATAGAATTGAATTCCTTGTTCACTACGGTGCAGTTCCAGGAAGTTGATTAAAAATTAATATTTTTCTCAAGGGTTGAGAAATACATTTTAAAAATCCCACTAATAGAAATAAATGTATGATTTGTAAATTTACCTCAGATATAACTTTGATATAGACATCTTGGGTTCACATCATCTGTAACTTGCTAGCTGGTGTGTGAACTGGACATTTCATTTGGAGAAATGTAAACTATTACACATACTTTCCAGAGTTGTTTTTAGGACCCAGTATGTGAAAGATATGCAGAAGGACAGGGAGACAGCCCCGTCTGTTGAGGTCTTAGAAATGTCACACACCTAACCACACAGGAAAAGGCCAACAAGGAAACAGAAAAGACCTTTGTGGTTATTGGTTTGAAAGGAAGCCCAGACAATGGAGCTACACAAAGACAAGGTCATCTGGGAAAGAACGGTAATGAGACCTGGAACAACTGGAATGGGGTGGGGACAATGCACCCCACCAGAGATGGCAGCATTCATGAAGGAAGTATATCTCCCTGAGAAGTTGGGGAGACCACGAGGACGACAAGCAAGAAATTTTCTTCTAGAAGTTTGTCTAGAATGGAGTTGAATGGCTCAGGGTGAGGCTGGTACCAGGCTATTTCATTTCTGTAGAGTACATTGTGTGAGACAGGGCTGAGGGTGGTGGAGGAATGGTCCTGGTTTTAATTCCAGAAGGGCAGGAGAGCAAATACTCAGACCCCAAGAAGGAGCTCACTGGAAATGCCTCTAAAGAAGCACCCTCATTTCTTCCTTCACCTTGAACTTCCCAACTGTAAAATCTTCTGGGAACCTGAGATACCCCAGACTTCCAGTAGATACCCCAGGCTTCCAGATACCCCAGACTTTCAGCATGATGAGCACTAGAACTCTCTAAGTGGGGAGATGGAGATGTTTGAAGGCAGGAGTTAGGGAGTTGTGTGTTGACCTTTAGGTTCAAAGACTCCCCTTTCCTATGACTCAAACTGGAGAAAGTTCCAACACTGGAATAAGCTGTCAGGAAACCTTCATGCTCCATGTTCCTTCTCTGGAAGCCTTTGAAATTTCTGAATCCTGGGATGAGCAGACATTTCCCACTTAGTATATAGAGAGGTCTCTGAAGGACCAGAAAACTACACCTCACACACTTGCACGCACAAGAGATGAGATAAGGGAGGGAAGCTATCAGACTCAACTGTAGCTAGCCAGCTGGGCAGCCTGTGCTTCCCACATTATCATATATCTGGCTTTTTGAAAAAGAAAAGGGCATTTCCTCCTTGTGCCGATGTTGGAGGTTTCTTCCTGTTCTCCAGTTATATAAAAGGACCGAGTGGCCATCCTTTACTGTACCTCAAGCCACCATCTATAATCCACCAACATGAATCTAGCAACAAAAATCTGCACACTGCTCATCGTGACCTTATCTTTTCTCTGGTTCGTGGAGGGTGAGTTTCCACCGTGGGAGTGGAGGGAGGTGTTCAGGTGCTATTATCTAAACAAACCACTGTCCTCCAGTCACACTCAGGTGTCGCAGCTCAAATCTGAAGACTGAGGTTCTAAGCATTAGAGAGATCATGTGACATACTAATCAAGAAGAAAAGAGAGGAACTGTAGAGAAACAGGACAGCAATTTTCAGACCTCCAGTTTTTGAGATTTTATTCATCGGTTTCCATTTTATTTCCCCCTCTCTTAAAACATTATTATGCTGTGCCCTGCACAACACCCTTTTCCTTCCCCTTTCTTTGTCTCATTATTTCTCCTCCATGTATTTTGCAGGTGTTCAGTCAGAAAGAATCTTTCTTTACCTGATTAACCTCTGCTCACAAAGCTCAATACTACTCACACAGATCCCCTCCCACTTCCAAGGCTCCACTTACCATTTATAGCTGAAAATAGCGAGCCTTCCTCCTCAGGCAGATCTCTCTGCTGAGTCTCCATCTTACACCAGTGAATGCACACTCTGCTTCAAAGTCAGCCTTAACACATAGCTCTCCCTCATGACTAAATGAAAATTAATGACTAATTCCCAGGATTTCTACTGATTAAATGTATTCAAGGTACAATGGTGTTTCTATTTTCCCCTTTTACCATTAAGAAATGTTAAACCATAAAATATTAGAGAAATGTAGGATTATTCTTTTATCAATTTGGGAAAGACCTTTCTAACTATAACTCAAAACCCAAAAGTTCCTAAAAGAAAGAACACATGAATTTGAAAGAGAGCAAGGAGGGCCATATGGGAGAGCTCAAAGGTGGAAAAGGAAGTAATTATATTATAATCTCAAAAAATAATATAAAGAAAGAAAAATCAAAAAAATCCTCATAGTAAAAAGCAAAAAATCAATTCATGTCATGAACAAATGCCTAATGTCCCTAACATACAATGACTTACAATAAAAAAATTTTAAATACACTAATAATCTAATGGAAAAATAAGTCCAAGACATCAAAAGTTTACCACAGTAACTACAAATAACTATTAAATATATAAAAATGTGCTCAGTGTCACTCCTTATATAGCAAAGAGAAGTAATATTAAAAGAACCTATCAGATTGTCAGCATTTAGAAACTAAATAACATGCTACAGTGTCCTGGATGTAGTGAGATAAGAATTTCCTAAAAATTGATAGCAAGAGTATAAATAGTTTCATTTCATTTAAAGTGCATCTTTCAAATCTGTCAAAATGATAGTTTATTTTTTATCCAGCAATTCTGATTATATGAAATCATCTTCAATATATAATCACATGCAAATGAAATTATATACTAACAAACTCATTATATTGTAATGAATAGCATTCAGGATTGTTTACTGTGGAAAGTAATATAAAAAAGTAGAAATAAATGTATATAAGGAATTTATTAATTAAAGCATGCTACAAGCTACAATGGAATATTTTGCTTGCATCATATATTGTTAAAAAAGAAATCGAAGTGCAGATTATGTGTAGTGTTTAGCCATCTCACTGTATTATAAAAGGGAACTCGCTCCAGATCTACTCCTGATACCAAAATCCATGAATGTTCAAGACCCTGACATAAAATTTTGCACTGTGTTTGCCTCTAACCTGCGCACATCTTTCCATATGCTTTCAATAATTATTACTTATAAGTGAACAAACAGGCATTGTATAGATTAAGCATCTTTGTCAAAATTAAGGTGTTCATAGGTGTGTGGGTTAATATCAGGGTTTTACTGATGGAGTAAATGGACAGTATATTCTATGTGTAACACTGAAGCCTCTCTTTGATCTTATACTCACTCGTTCCCATAGCCTTACAGTTCATCCTAAATATCCTATTCTCTCCTTACTCAACAAATACAGGTCTGACCTGTAATGTCTGTGATTTCTCAAAACATTCAAGATGTAAAAGTGGCCAAGGCAGATGCAATGCAAAACATGGTCAGTCATGTTCTACCATATCACAATTTTATGGTAAGTGGAGCTGATACAGACTCCAAAAAAATGCCTTCAAAAGACTATTACTCCTACTAATGCCTAGGATAAAGAACTTAACTTTGTTGAGCCTTGCTAAGTGGTAAGGCAATGAGTAAAATGTGGGGAGGAGGGAAAGGAGTACTTTCTAATTTATCATTGGGGGCCTTGGCATCCAGAGTCAGAGTCAACATGGGAATGTGACCCCAAGGAGCCAGAGAAGGGGATCCAGTGTGAAGGGGTTTTTCTCTTGGCAGTGACTTTTAGGAAGATGTATTAAGATAATCTCCCCCAGCATGTGTAACAGGCTTCTTCTTTATTTTTAGGATCACGCCATATGTCCTCCAGGCAACTGTGTATGACTCACTGCAAGGAAAGACAGGATTACCACAATAAGATATTAACTTACTATATGTACTGTAATAAAAATTTGTGTAATAGTTTCTAGATGTAGAAGAGTCTCTGGAGGATCATTTTCTATTCAAGATCCAAAATTACACACCAAGCATATGAGGAACTTGCTTTCATACACTGTTTCCACACTGACCCGAGATTCCTGAGATAGCAACAGGGGCTGTGTCTTCATTTCAGTGAAGGACTCCTAACCATACCATTAGACCCTTAAAATCATGACCATTGTAAAATGATTCGTTATTTTTCTCTTCCAATTTTCAATTTTTAGCCTTGTAATAGTCTCCCAAGGGTTTTTATTTTAATATCTGGAATCTGTGAATGCTGCTGTAGATAGCACAAGAGACATTGAAAATGTGATTAAGAATCTTATTAATGGAAGTCTATTTTTTGATTGTCAGGGTGGGTCCTAATTGAAAGGACAAATGTCCTTATAAGATGGGGGGTGAATGGACTATAGAAGAGGAAATGATTGTATGATGGTGGAAGCAGTAATTGGAGTGATATCCCTTGAAGATGAATCAAAGGTTCATGAGCCAATAAATACAGAAGGCCACTAGAAATTAAGAAGGAGAGTGAAATTAATTTTCCTTGGTGCCACGCTGCTACTTGATTTTATCCCTAAAACATTTATTTCTGACTTCAGAGTTCCAAAAATTGAATAAATGTGTGTTGTTTTAAGCAATTAAGTTTGTAGTCATTTATCATATCAATAATAGGAAGTTAAAACAATTCCAATAAGTGTTTAGGAATTAAAAGAATTGGTAATCCTGACCCCCTACTCAGAGGGCAATATAGAATTCTTTGTTCCAGATTTAGAGTAACCTACAAGAGGAGAGGTGTCTTAGTTTGGGTTTCTATTGCTATGAAGAGACACCATGACCATGGCAACTCATATAAAGGAAAAATATTTAATAGGGGTGGCTTGAATTTTCAGAGGTGTAGTCCATTATCGTCATGGTGCAACCTGGTGGCATGCAGGCAGACATGGTGCTAGAACAGGAGCTGAGAGTTCTTACATCTTGACGCCCAGGCAACAGGACATGGTCTAACTCATTGTGTATAGCTTGAACCTAGGAGATCTCAAAGGCCACCTCCACAATAACACACTACCTCTAACATACCTACTCTAAGAAGGCCATACCTACTCCAACAAATAGTGCCACTTCCTTTGGGGGTCATTTTCTTTCAAACCACCACAAAAGGAATGCAGAGTAAATGCTGTGAGTGAATGAAAGGTTATTCCTTTAGAGTTCAATCTCACCACATGCTGCAGGTAATTCTTCAGAGACTTTGAAGCTAATAGTACCCTACTACTTTCTAAAGCAATCAAATATATGCTGTAACAGATTAACTTACAGCTTCTCACTGGTTCATATGCGGACTGCACCTGTCCAATTCTTCTGGTTGTTAGGTTCTGTACACATAATTTTGGGTTGCTTTCATTATGCTGATGTTTTTATATTAAGGCCCCTAATCTATTGTGGGAAGCCACTCACAATACACTGTTGAGGAAAAGTATTGATTATTATTTTTCTTCAAAGAGTAAACTTTCCTGATATGCTTTGCTATAAAAAGAAATTATCCTTTTATTTGTGATATTGTTTTATAATATATTGAAAAGGGAAAATCATTGCTCTTCCTCTCACACACACACAAAATCTCTGATATTAAAGGTATGAGCTTCCCCACACAAATGAATCCCCTGCATTTCTAATGGACACTGGCAGTGTCCTACAATTTAACGTAACTTTGCCATAACTGCCAGCTTCTGTTCCTACAGAGTGTGAGCAGAGCCATTTTGCCAGGACACAAGTGTGTTCTTATTCACCATTCCAGTAGCACTCCTCTTTTTTTTTTTGAGAATCTTAGTGCAAGATTCATAATACAGCAATGATTTTAATTAAGTCATCACCTCTTGGTTGATGAGTTAATTCAACCTCCAGTCTCTCTCCTATCTTCCCAGAGACTGGGGAGGGAGGGAAGAGGCTGAAAGTTCTAACAGTATGAAGTAGGGTGTGTTTGAAGTCTGTTATTAACAGTGAAAGACATGGAGATATTTCAGGAGCTGAGAACAGAAGGCCAAATATTACAACACAAGGTGTTCCTGTTATTTTTATCACTTAGGAAGTCACAGAGATTTTAGCGCCAGAAGCCATGCTCAAATACAAAATAAACTGCTCTTCAACTTACGAGGGAACCACCCCCACCTCACCCACTGCACACTGGAACTATCATGCAGATAAAAATAAATTTAATATACTTAGCTTGAGCAACTTAGCTCAGCAACACAGTGCATTAAAGGGTGTTCAACATTTACCTTCTGAGTGTGGTGCTAACTGGTGGCTACAATTCCCTGCTACTGCTTAGTATTACAAAACAGTATTAAACTTTGTGTCATTGACCCAAAAAAAATATTCAAAATTCAATGTTTGGTGTCTACCAAATGGCATTTTCTGACATCATCATAAAGTCAGAAATTGAGCAATGATGCATGAAAAGCTATTTGTATGGATTTTGTGTGATATCACTAGATACACCATTCTACTTGGTTGTCTATTTGTGCTAAGGTATTTCAAAATTTATATGTTAAAACCTAGTTTTCAATATAATAATAGTTGATGAAATAACTATACCTTGAGGATGGGGCTAATGAATAAGAATGGTGACCTTATAAGACCTCCCACCCCAGAGAAGTTTCTGCCCTTTCCAACATGGCAGCATTCAACAAAAAAGCACCACTTGCAAAAAAGGCAAGCAGGTAGAAGCTTTGAAACCGGATCTTTGGCTACCCAGCCTTCAGACTTCAGAGCAACAATTGTGTGTTGTCTATATTATATATGCTCTCATGTTCTTGTGATAGAAACCCAAACTGTTTAAGATAATTTTATTTTTGAATGACTATTACACCATTTTATCACTAGGGTTCTGAGGATGTCTTCTATGTCTAATTAGAAATGCCTACTCACTGTGACAATTCTTTGTCTACTGTCTGTCAATTCCAGTGTTACTGTTTCAACATACATGATAGAAACTTAAGAGTGAAAAGATTTATTTAACTCACAGTTTCAGAGACTTTAGTTCATGATTTCTCGGCTCTACTGATGTAGCGACCATATAAGGAATCGCATCATGGCAGCATGAGCAGTCGGGTAGGGGGGATCCATTTAATCTCATTACAGACAGGAAGCAGAGCAAGAGACAGAAAGAATCAAGATTCAAGTTATCCCCGAAGACCCACTCCTGCTAAACTCATCTCTAGAACCTCCCAAACAACACTCGATGGTTAAGAGCACTTGTTGATCTTGCAAAAGACTTGGGTTTGAGTCCCAGCATCCAGATGAAGGCTCAGAACCATATGTAACTCCCGTTCCAGGTGTCCCAACATCCAATACCCTCTTCTGTCCACTGTGGACACCAGGTGGACACGTGGTGCACAGATAGACACATGGGCAAACCATTTATATACATGAAATGTTTTTTGTTGTGTTTTGTTTTTTGCTTTGTTTTGTTTTAATTTTTTAATCAGTTCAAATTAGGAACAAGCTTGCTTCACATGTCAATCCCTTCTCCCTCTCCCTCCCCTCTCTCCAACCCTCCCTCTTTCCCCTCCCTTCCCACCCCATCAATCCTCCACTCCCCAGGCAGGGTAGGACCCTTGATGGTGGCTCCCCAAAGTCTACCACATCATCCTTGGCAGGGCCTAGGCCCTCCCCCATGTGTCCAGGCCAAAAGTGCATCCCTTCACATGGGATGGGCTCTCAAAGTCCCTTCTTACACCAGGGAAAAATACTAATCCACAACCAGGGCCCCCCTAGACTGCAGAGGCCTCCTAATTGACATCCATGTTCAGGGGTCTGGATCAGTCCCGTGCTGGCCTCCCAGACAGCAGTCTGGGGTCCATGTGCTCCCACTTGTACAGGCCAGCTGTTTCTGTGGGGTTTCACCAGCCTGGTAACGACCCCTTTGATCTTCATTCCTCCCACTCTGCAAGTGTCTGTGGGTGCCTCTATTTCCATCAGCCACTGGATGAGAGCTCGAGGATGGCATAAAAAGTAGCCATCAGTCTCATTATAGAGGAAGGGCATTTAGGTTATCCTCTCCACCATTACCTAGATTGTCAGTTCGTGTCATCCTTGTAAGTCTCTGGATATCTCCTTAGTGCCAGGTCTCTCCTCCGACCGATAATGGCTCCATCTAATATGGTATCTCTCATCCTGCTCTCCTCTATTCTTCCCCCAACTCAACACTTCTGCTCCTCCATTTCCTCCTCTCCCCTCCTCTTCTCCTCCTTTCATTCTGGCAGCTCTCTCTCCCCGACCCTCATGCTCCCAATTAGCTCAGGAGTTCATGCCCCTTCCCATTCCTGGGGTCCATGAATTTTTCCCTTAGAGTCCTTCTTGTTTCCTAGTTTCTTTAGTGAAGAGGATTGTAGGCTGGTAAACTTTGCTCTATTTCTAAAATTCATATATGAGTGAGTACATACTATGTTTGTCTTTTTGTGACTGGGTTACCTCACTCAGGATGGTTTCTTCTACTTCCATCCATTTGCCTGCGAATTTCAAGATTCCATTGCATTTTTCTGCTGAGTAGTACTCCATTGTATAAATGTACCACATTTTCCCTATTCATTCTTCAGTTGAGGGGCATCTAGGTTGCTTCCAGGTTCTGGCTATTACAAACAATGCTGCTATGAACATGGTTGAACATATGTCCTTGTTGTATGGACATACAGTACTTGGGTATATACCCAAGAGAGGAATGGCTAGATCTTGAGGTAGATTGATTCCCATTTTTCTGAGCAACCGCCCTCCTGAT